TATTCTCTAAGCAGTGGCCTAGAAAGTTTGAGACTCTAAGATGACTTTCTAAAAGCCTCCAGTAATTGCAAGTTATGTGGCAAAATATTAGATAGATGTTTGAATGTGTTTATAGGAGTTTAACTATTTAAGCTTTTAGTCAAGTATAAAAACAGGCCAAAGGAGAGCTTCTTATAATGGCTTTCATTTTTTTTCTGGGTTTTTAATTATAGGAAAACCAAATGAAAAATAAATGGACACCATTAAGAAATATAAGGGAATAAATATTTGTTTTCTGGAAAAGTATTAGTGGTTAGCAAGGGAAAACTTTTTTATAGCTGAATTGAAAAATAGGTTGAGATGCTTGAGATTAGTGTATGCTAGTTATAAAATGGCATGCATTAAATTAGCACTTGATACAAAATGTGAAAGTAATAGTTGAGATATTGATGAATTATGGTAATAAGTAGAAAAGAATAAATGCTTTCTATTTGTTCATTGAGATACAATTTACCTAAGTAAATGTCATCCTGTTTAGGTGAGCAGTTCTATGAATTTCAGCAAATGTGTAGTCATCCATCAGAATATACAGGGAGTTGGTTTCAGGACCACCTGTCTATAACCAAATCTGCTCACACTCAAGTGCTGCAATCTGCCGTGCCAAACTGCATATGCGAACAGTTGATCCTCTGGTATCCACAGGTTTTGCATCCTTGAGCATACTCTATTTTCAATTTGTGTTTGGTTAAAAAAAGCCATATGAAAGTGGACCTGAGAAGTTCAAACCTGTGTTGTTCAAGGGTCAATTGTATACAATTGTGTAACTAACCACCACAACCAAAATAGAGAATATTTCCACCCCTCCCCTGCCCAATCTCTCATTTCTCTCTGTCATCAATTCCCTCTCTTTATCTGCAGCCCTGACAACGCAAATCTGATTTCTTTCCTGACAGTCTGATGTTCCTAGAATATTGTGTAAATGAATTGATAAAGGATATAGCCTTTTGAGTTTGGCTTCTTTCACTTAGTATATAGGTTGAGGCTCACAGCTAGTGTTGCATATATCATTAGCTTGTTTCTTTTTATTGCTTTGATGTTTCATTGTATAAACGTGCTGCAATTTGCTTGTCCATTTACCAGTTGAGGGATATTTGGGTTGTTTCCAGGTTTTGGAGATTACAAATAAAGCTTATATAAAATTTGCAAATTTTATATTCTTTTTCAAATACATGATGGCTAAATGGAAAGTAGGTGGCAGGTTGAATTAATTTCATTTTTCTTATGAGTTAATAGAGCCTAAAATATGTGTGTGTGTATGTGGGTGCATATGTATGCATGTGTGTATGTATCTGAGATGACAATCATTTCTATATCATTTAAAATTTTCATTCAATAATTCAGTTTCTAAATATATAGAAAGATGAATTCAGGCAAGTCTCTAGAGCCTTATTAACTTTTAAGCCTAAAAGTCCCAATGTAGTTGACAAGGCCACTTCATCTTTATTTGGAGCATTCAGCAGCCCATGAAAAGAACAACTTAGAAGAGCTGGTTAACTTCATAAAATTTCCAAGCCAATGATAGTTCTAATGTAAGTAGAATTGGCCTCTACAGATAAGGCAGGTCATTTAAACTAAACTGGATTTTCAATTGCCCTTTAAGGCATTCAGTAAGGTACTAATGGAACTTAGGAGTAAAATTTGACTTCCCTAATTTCCAGAATGGCAATACTGTCTTGCACACAATGTTTAATGTTTTTGTTTTAATGTGCTTCATTCATTTTGGGGAAAAAAAAAAAAACCAAATGAAAGTGAATTTTCCAGAATAGAAGGGAAGTTGGCTTTGTTCTTTTGTGTGTGTGTGTGTGATCATTTTTTTATTAGGGCTAGTTTCTTAGAGAAATTTACAAAGCTTTTTGCAATACTAAATTAAATGTAATATTGCGTTTTTTATAAGACTAAATATAGGGCAAAAGAAGAGTTAAACCTCAACATGCATAGCTTTGTTGTTGAGGTGTGCTTTGCTATAAGAAAGTCTTGTGGTACTGATATAAAAGTAGAGACATGGACCAATGGAACAGAACAGACAACCCAGAAATAAAACTATCCACCTATAAACAACTAAATCTTCGACAAAGCAGACAGCAACATATGCTGCAGAAAGGAAACCCTATTCAATAAATGGCGTTGGAAAAACTGGATAGCCAAATGCAGAATAATGAATCAGGACCCCTGTCTTTCACCATATGCAAAAATCAATTTAAAATGGATAAAAGACTTTAATTCATGAAATGATAAAAATTCTAGAAGAAAATGTAGGAAAAACTCTTCTAGGCATCAGTCTACACAAAGAATTTGTAACTAAGAACCCAAAGGTAATTACAGCAACAATAAAAATAAATGAGTGGGACTTGATTAAATTAAAATCTTCTGCACAGCAAAGGACATAATCAACAGAGTAAATAGATAATCTACAGCATAGGAGAAAATCTTCACAAACTATACATATAAGGAAGGCTAACATTGAGAATCTACAAAGAACTCAAATCAGCAAGAGGAAAACAACCCATTTAAATGTGGGCAAAAGACAAGAGCAGAAGTTTTTCAAAAGAAGATGGGCAAATGGGCAACAAACATATGACAACATGCTCACTATAATAATCATCAGGGAAATGCTAATTAAAACCACAATGAGATATCACTTTGCCCCTATTAGAATGGCTATAATTTAAAAGTCCCAAAACAGTAGATACTGGTGTGGATGCAGAAAAAAAGGAATGCTTATACATTGTTGATGGGACTGGAAATTAGTACAACCTCTGTGGAAAACAGTGTGGAGATTCCTCAAGGAAATAAATATAGACTTACCATTCAACCCAGCAATCCCACTACTGGATATCTACTCAAAGGAAAAGAGTCATTTTATCAAAAAGACACCTATACTCGAATGTTTATCACAGCATAATTCACAATCTTAAAGATGTGGAATCAACCTAAGTGTCCATGAATTCATGAGTGGATTAACAAAATGTGGTTATACACCATGGAGTACTACTCAGCCATGAGGAATGAAATAATGTCTTTTGCAGCAATTCGGGTGGAACTGGAGACCATTATGCTAAATGAGGTATCTCAGGAGTGGATAAACAAACACACATGTACTCTGTAATAATTGGGAGCTGTGAATTATGGAATTTTGTCTGTGATTTTAATAAATGGCCAATTCTTTAAGTTGTGACTATATAAAGGGAATACTTGGAATCATTGAACTCATACACTAGAATGGAGCTATGCATGCATATATATCCCTAAGATGAGCTCACAAATATTTATATATACAACTGCATTTGCCATAGTCTTTCGGATTCTGATATCAATTTTCTGTCCCTTCTCATTAATAAATGAATGATAATAATGATCAGTGGGGCCAAATCAATAGTCTTTATTCTTATTTATCTTAGCTTTTCCTCTTTCAGTTTCTTCTGACCTGTTTGTCAGCATGTTCTACATTGTATTGCAGAGGAATATACACATATTGGTCTAGTTCATCTATTAGTAATTTAGCTATCTTTGCTTATGTCTTTTTCCCACTATTCACCCAACTATAATCTTTTTTAAATAAAACAGAATATATTTTCTTATGTTCTGCCTAATTCTGACTGCTGATTTTTGTTTATTGAAAATAAGTGTCTGATTTTTTTGCAAGACATTCTTTCTATGCTTTTGTGTCCTATGTTTATAATATGTCTTCCAATCATGCTGGTGGTGAAAAGCAGGGTGCATTTTATATTTGGAGTGGCCCCTTGTATCAGGACACTTACTGTATAATATTTAATACTACTAAATGTTGTTCAGGCAATATCAGGTGGACTGTATTTGCCCATTAGTCAGATGCATAAACCTTTCTCACATTGATTAATTTCTTTAGTGACAAATCAGGGAGAAAATCCTTATAGTCCTGAAAAAGGACTAGAAAGTTGGAAGAAAATGTCAAGAGGTTTGAGGTCAGCAATTTGATCTTTTAAAACACTATCCTTCAGAATGACATCAATAAATATTATATATGATAACTCTTAATGGAGGATAGAATTTGAAAATAAAATTTCAACTCCCACATATAGTATATGTGAGGAAAAATGAAAGGAAACATATGTTCACATCATAGTGGGGGAAGAAAAAGTATTTTTTAAGTTTGAGTTTGCTTGAAGTTCTTTATTATTAAATTATGAGATTCCTGGTAAGTACGCAACATATTTGCATAAGTATTAAAATAATTCATCATGATTAATTCTATTACAGTGCATCTCATCTCTAATCACAATCTGCCATATACTATAGCGGTTTGTCAGTATTTCATATTTTACTGAAGTTTTTGTGATATTGCAGCTCCTGTAACAGCACAAATGTCATCTGAGTTCACTGTGATTAATGTGCCTCTGAAGGAGATCTAATAACGATTAACCAATTTCATAAAGTGTTACAGAATAAGGTCTCTGTGTGAGAAAAATTTTAAAGCCCATAGAAATGTACACCCTAGCAAGTAACTCTGGTAGCAAGTTGGGTTTCTATAAAAGGATGAGGAGGTTTAATCTGGGAAACAGATGATCCACCGAGGCAAAGGGTAAAGGTGGGAACAGAGAATAATAATTTTCCTTTAAATATTTAAAGGATCAGAAAAAAATAAGGCAAATTTAGAACTGATGGTTGAAAGTTATAGGGCAGTAGGTATCTATCTGATATATTGAAACTTCAAAGAAATGAAACTCATCAGAAAGAGAATGAGCTCCATGGGTCTAATGGACCAGCAAGGTAAGGAGTTTCCTGTCCCTGGAAGTATTCAAGGTGTGAGATAAGATGACCCTTTATGGAGACCCTTGCAAAGTGGTATTTTAATGGTTCAAAAGAGGGTTATCTTTGGGTAAATTCTGAATTCCTCTTCAACTGTGAGTTTCTATAACTTAATTTCCTTTACCATGTCAACAAATTTCTCATATATATATATAAGTATATATATATATTTTTAGATATTGGTGGAGGCTTCTGTGGGAGATGGCTTCACTGGAGATATTGCAATTGATGATTTGTCATTCATGGACTGCACCCTCTACCCTGGTAAGAGAGAACATTTCAATATATGAATATTTACAAACCCGTTTACTTGGAAAAGCTGCCAAGGAAGTCAATATTTCATTTCTATAAATATTCCTGAATACCCTCACTTTTATTCTGTTTCTCAAATCTATAAACCCTGGAAGAGTTATACATCTTTGTTAGTAAATTAAGTCTTTGCGAACATAGTAAAGGGGTTTGAATCAGTTATGTCTATGTCTTAATCATACTCAAAATGCCAGGAAGTCATGTCTAAAGTTAAACTGTAATTCCATTAGGTTTGATAGGTTACAATAACCAGACTGGTTGCCTTATAATTATATTAATCTCCCCAGTTACCTTCAGTGATATTTTATATTCGGGCTAGACTTTAAATATTCTTAAAGATTATTCCTCAGCCAATTCCTCTCCAATTATAGATTTATATTTATTAAAACATGAATGCATGTTTCCCAGATGTACATCTCATCCCCTACCTTCCCCCTGAACTCCAGACTCAACACGACTGACTGCTCAATCTACTAACTCTGAGCTTGGTTTGTTCTTTTTCATGTTTCTTGAGGTATAAAGGTAAGTTGTTTATTTGAGATGTTTCTTAATTTTTATTATAGGTATTTATCACTATAAAATTCTTCTTAGAACTGCTTTTTCTGTATTCTGTAAATTTTGGTATGGTGTTTCCATTTTCATTTGTCTTAGATTTTCTTATTTCCCTTTGGATTTCTCTTTGACCTATTGGTTGTTCAGGAGTCTGTGGTTTAAATTGCCACATATTTGTGTGTTTTCCAATTTTCCTCCTGTCATTGGTTTTTAGTTTCATACCATTGTTGTTGGAAAAGATGCTTGAAATGAGTTCACACTTCTTAAATTTGTAAATATTTTTTTGTAGCTTAACATGATCTGTCCTAGAAAATGTTCCATGTATGCTTGAGAAGAATGTGTATTTTGCTGCTCTTGGATAGAATGTTCAGTATATGTTCAGTATAAGGTACTTTAAGTACCTTTGACTTAAAGTGTACTTGAAGTCCAATGTTTCCTTGCTGATTTTCTGTCTGGATGATCTATCCATTGTTGGAAGTGGAATATTGAACTCTTCTACTGTTATTGTGTTGCTATATCTTTCTCCCTCAGATTTGTTAATATTTACTATATATTTAGGTTCTCTGATTTGGGAGCATATATATTTCTAATTGTTATATCCTCTTGATGAATTGACTCCTTTTTCATTATATAATGATGTTCTTTGTCTCTTTTTACAATTTTTGACTTAGACTTATATCAAACAAAATATACTTTAACTTCCTCTGCTCTCTTTTAGTTTCCTTTTGCATAAAATGTATTCATCCTTTTACCTTCAGTCTATGGGTATCCTCAAAGTTGAAGGGAGTCTCTTTTAGGCAGCATTATTATTGGGTCTTATTCTTTTTATCTATTGAGCCATTCTATGTCTTTTGATTGGAGAAATTAATCCATTTGCATTAAAGTAATTATTGATAGGTAAAGACTTACTATTGCCTTTTTGAGAATTCTTTTCTGGCTATTTTGTAGAATTTTTCTTTCTTTCTGCCTGTCTTGCTATCTTCCTTGTGATTTGATGATTGTAGGGGTATCTTTTGATTCCTTTGTTTTTATCTTGTGTGTATTTACTATAGGTTTTTGCTATGTGTTTACCATAAGGTTTGCATAAAACAGCTTATAGTTATAATAATATATTTTAAACTTATAAAAACTTAATCATGTACAAAAACTTTACAGTATTTCTCCCCCAACATTTGTGTTTGTGATGTCATAATTTACATCTTTTTATATTCATAAAAATTAATATTTATATTAAATTCAGAATATGTAATACCATAAAGGCAGTTTGTAAATCACTTACAACTCTAAAGGTTAAAAGACAAATGTATTAAAAATAACCATAGCATCGATAATTTGTTAATGGACATATAATAAGAAATCCTTATTTTTAATTTAGTCCATGAAGATGCTTGAGAAAAGACTTTTCAGGTAAAATTAATTACATTTCTAAGGAAAGTAGGAAAACTTAATCACGTAATGAAATTCTATGATACTTTGCATCAGTGTACAATGAAGGTGTCTATTGCCTGAGTAGGTGGGGAATGCTGACAAAGTTGAAGAGATTTCCCTTTACCCTGCATCAGGTTTTCAGAGTAAATTATTAAGTAAGAATTGTTCCCAAACAAGTATCCCAAAAGATGTATTTGTAGTACAGTATTCTTTCCATCTTCAATCAGAGAAGCAAGAAGTATATTTCCTTCAGCTGAACACATATGATAGGGATTTTCTTTCTTGCACCAAGGATTATTGATGAGATAACTGGTTTATCTGGGGAAAAAAAGTGACTACATCATAAAATACTGCCTGCAAATTAAAAAAAAAATTACTTATGTGCTTTTCATCCTATTTTAAAATTTCGGATTTTAGCATGCATAGTAGAACTGTTAAAATTTATTAATTATTAGACTATTAGTATTATATGAATATTGATATTTAAGGTATTAGTGTTTTTATTTTTCCCAGGAATATTGTTGCTAAATCAGTGGCATATCTTGCAACTGATGGTGCGTTAAAATTGTTAAAATATGCTAACTATTTATAGGATGCTTAACCTAATTTTTATTATGTCTTTCCCTGAATGGGTTGTTTTGTTGTTGAGCTGGGTTGATTAAATTTTTGGCATCTCTTCTCATTATTAGTCTCAGTGTCTCGCCAGCTTTATTTATACGTGTCATTCAGATCTCCCTTGTTTTCTGTGAAGATTAATGTTTGAAGTGTGAATCAAAAGGCAAGGGGAAGGGTATAAGTACAATTGTTTTCAACTTTAAGATATCACCTGCAGCATTTCCTCTTATAATACTAATATGCTAATATAATACTAATACTAATAATATGCTTGGCATATCTATTACATTTGCTTCAGAATAATAAATCATATGATAGTACCGTGTTTTAAAATTCACCTTTTTTTTGTATAATATTTTTCTAAAGGATGTGTAGACTCAACAAAACAAAATTATTGGAAAGATTTGCAGTTAACATAAGATTTAAAAGCAAAAATCAAGAAATTTGAGACTTGGTAATTGCAATCTGAAATATTCTAGTTTTAGCTACTTTGGTGTAGTTTCACAAAGTGATTTAGCATAGACACAGGAAAAAGAGTTGTCCAAAGCCTATGGTGCATTCAACCGAGCAATTCTGTTGTGTTCCTAGAAAATAAAAATGAACAAATAATTCAACTCATTTTAAAGTTACAATTTTTAAATTCTGTCATCTCTTAGTTGAGGGAAATGGTAAATACTAAAAATGGAGAAGACTGTTAAAATGCTTAGATTTAAGCTTGAAAATTGTCCAGCTGCTGTGTCTATTTGTAGTCACTTTCAAAATAGTAGAATCTCTATAAAGATGGAAAATGTCATTGAATCCATGGCATAAAGCAAAAATATTTCAAAAAGAACTGATTTGCTATTGGAAATAGGAAAAAAACACACTGCATAATGCGGAAAACACCTGTATCACAATTGTTATAATCATATCCAAAGAATAGCTATGTTTTCATAAAATCTTCTCTGCTAGAAAGTAGACCCAACACAGGCACTTCAATAAGATCATGCTAAATGTGGTTCTTTCAGCTTGTGAGTATAACTCTAAGTTATTTTATTAAATGTAATAGGAAAAATGTGTACTATTCCCGTGGAGCTATTTCAGGATTTTCTGAAGATTGATTATGTTTAAACTTCAAATACACTTTTAGACTTTTAAATTATATATGTTTCTTAACATCAAAAGTCACAAGGAAACACCCACACATTGTTACCTAGATATATATAAAGAACAACTATGCATATTAGTCAAGCGATTCACGCAGTTATAATACATCTAAAGTTGGGTATAATTTATCAAGTACTATAGATATTAAAGTATTGGTTTTATTGCTTAATTTTCAGTGTAGGAATGGCTGTAGGGAGGGAAGCCTAGTATAAAACAAGTTGGAAAATCTGTTTTATCGGAAAAATTATATTAGCATAGCCTAAAGTTTGTCATATTGGTTACAATGAATTCACAGAGCAAGCAGTTAGAACACTGAGTCCATCTGGAGCCTGAGAACATCTACTTAGGAAATCTTCCAGATGACAGATGTGCAGGTGGCTTGGTTTCCCTGCAGCTTAGTGACGTGGAGGAATATCAGATCAAACCAGACTAATCTCTACTTCTTAGCACAAACCTCAGTCATTTGCATTTCATCTTTGCAATATTTATTTCATCTGCAGAGCACTTAGTGATTTTTGTTTAAAGAGATTTAAATCTATCATTTCCACCAAGTTTAGCCTTATTCTAAGCAATTACAGGCCAATAATAATAATAATGCAATGGACTGAATACTTATGTTCCTCTCAAATTCATATGGTGAAATTCTAATCCTCAGCATGATGGTATTTGGAAGTCTGGTCTTTGGAGGTACTTAGGGTTACATTAGGTTATGAGGGTAGAGTCCTCTTGGTAGGATTAATGCCTCTGTAAAAAGAGAAAGAGATAGGAGATTTCTCTCTCTCTTTTTCCAAGTAAAGGCCAGGTGAGGATGTGACAAGAAACAGGACCCTTACCAAGAACCCAACCTTGCTGTAGTCTAGAGCAAAGCAAAACTTTGGAATGAAGGTGAAGGAAAGCATTCAGAGGTTAACATCCACAAAAAGACTCCAGAAAATTATTTCCCTGCACCAGACTGTGCGGTTCACACAAATGAACTGTGTAAATGTGAACCTCAGAAAGAGAAAAAATAGGCTCAAGAAAGGCTGTGATGGGAAAAGGGAAGAGAGAGCAAAGAAAATGGCAAACACATGGGTGAATCTAAATATACTGATGGTTGATGAGTATGTAATGCAACCAGGATATTTATAGAGTACTGGAAAGTACAGAAATTGGTCAGATTATAGTACTTTGGAAAACAGTTTTATGTTATCTATTAGAGTTGAAGTTGTGAGTAC